CTGCCTTAATTTTCTTATCTGTAAAAGAGGGATACTAATAGTACTGGGTTATCATGAGGATCCAATAAATTAATCCATGTAAAATGCTTAGAACAGCATGTGGGACATGTATTGCATAAGTGGTTAGCTATTATTACATATGAAAAAGAGTTTGCAAAAACATTAGGCACTATAAAGTGGTGAAGAGGAAATAGCATTCTTATTGAACAGTGGTTCTCAAGGGGGTGGAGCATCAATAGCCCCTTTCTCAAGGGCAGTTCTCAGAAATTTTTGGAGGCATTTTAGGGATCAAGTCAGGGAGAGGTGTCACACTATTGGCATTTAGTGAAGGGAGTCAGGGACATTCTGCAACACCCAGGGCAGTCCTTCATAGTGACTTAGGGCAGTCCTTCACAGTGAAAGGCTTTTCTAGATCCTAGATGATACCACACACCCCTACCCATCTTCATTTGCAGCTGTGCATTGACAGTGATTTACACAGAGGTGCTGGCATCAGACTCCTTCAAGATGAACCCATGTGTAGCAGTGCTCATGCATTTATCTATTGAAACACATTTTTTGTATTTTTGCTTTCTTTTGTTTTAACATGTTATTAATACTTTATTTCTCCCATATAGCACTGAGATTTTTAAATTTAACTTAGAGTTGGGCTATATTATTTTTGCAATCCATTTCACAAAAATAAAAAGGGTATGAAGATATTTGTTAGTGATACTGTGCACTGGGTCTGAGTTTACAGGATTTAAGATAGAACGAGGTTTAGAGATGGCTTAACCCAGCTCACTAGCCTTCCAGTGAAGAAAACCAAGGCCCACAAAGATGAAGTATCTTGTAAAAGTGAAAACAAGCAGAAGATAAGAACCCTGGTTTCAAGACTCTAACCCAAGGGTACAGGGTATTCTTTAAGAATCTGTACATCCTAAATAAAATAAGATTTCTTGAAGTTCAAATTCTCTTCCAGTCCTGAGATTTTGTGCCAGAAAACCATTAGCCCCCCCCTTGCCACCATCCTCCTCCTTCCTGATGTCACCACCAGAGAAAGTGACTGTGAAAGTGACGCTGTGGATGACCTCGGCAGGCAAGCATTCCGGGGAGCCTTGTGGGGGAGAAGCTCTGACGGGCAGGAAGAATGTCAGCAACTGTCCTTGACTTTCTCCTTTGAGTTTCCACTCTTTCCAGCCCAGTTCCATAGGGGGCTTTTTGAACTCAGGGATTATTCTGTCCACCCCCTACCTCCACGCTCGGACATGAGTCTTCCAGAACAGTCTGAACTCCTTAATCTCACCAAAGTGATAGAAAAATTAATTTTCTTGTAGCTTCAGTTGTAAAAAGGTTGACACATTTTAAATTACTATTTTACTATTATTAATCTAAGGGCAAAAATTTCCTCTTCCCCCCACGCGGAGCTGCCAGGCATGTTTGTGCTGGTGTGCCCTGCCCAATCCAGAGGGTACCTTCCCCGCCACAATCCATGTGAATGGTGCCCCCTGGAATTATGGGGTTTGGTACCTGCATGGCTGCAATGCAGAGTCCCTCTCCCACTTCCTAAAATAAGAAATGAGTTCATAGTGTGAAAATTTCTGATCTTAACCAATATTGCTTAAACACCAGCTTAACTGGCACCATTTACTCACTACTTAAGATTGAATTACACTTTAGTCTCCTTGCCAGCCACATGTTTAACCATGGGTTAACTGAGCCATATCTTAGCAGCTTCCTTTTGATAGGCAAGCACTGGGTGTCCTAGGTGTTTAAGACTCACTCCTCCTTCCTGTTCCTCCCTTTTGACTAGCCCACATAATTGCTATTTCCTGCTCAGAGTTGTCCCAAGCACTTCAGCATATTTGAGAGTTGGGGAAAAACACTTTGAGCCCAATAACTTCAACTGGCTCAAGTACACAGTCCCACCTGAAAGCTCACAGCATCTGTATTGCCTGGAGGTTGAAAGTATGGGCTTCTAAGTCAGTTAGACCTAGAAGCCTTCTAGCTATGTGACTTTAAGCATAAAACCTAATGTCTGTAACTTAATTTCTCATTAGTAAAATGAACATCAATAGTACTGGCCTCACGGAGTTACTAGAAGTGTAACATGAACAAATGCACGTAAAGTCTGGCACATGTTAAGTGCTCAAGAAATATTAGCTATTGTCACCATTCTCTTTCCCCAGATTCCATTTAACTCCTATGGCCCCCAGAGGAATGATCTCCTAGTATTACAGTTTTATAGCACAAACACACACACACAAATAGAATAAAATAAGAAATACAAACTCTAATAAAGGAAGTGGAAAGGACTGCCCCTTAGAAGGGGCAATTTCATCTTCATTTCATTTAAATTATAAAAATTACTACTAGCAACAAGCATTTGATATGTGCTTTTTATTCTCAGAGTGCTCGTCCATAGAGCAGCCTTGTAAATTAAGCAGGTTCCCTTATTCCTATCTTGCAAGTGAAGACATTGAGGCTCAGGGAAGTTATGATAACTTATGTGGCTATGATAAGTTATGTGGCTGAAATCTATGACTACAAGGCATGCACTGAAACTTGCTGTTTAGGGTTTCACTTAGGATTTTCCACTAGTAGAAGTAGCAGCTCTCCACTAGGGGGCGCTTATCATGCAACGGCTGCATATTGGCAGGGGCTAGTGTACTGATCTCCACAGACTCTCAAAAAACAAACCAAAAAATATAGTCAAAGTAAAAACTGTGCATTTGTTATGTAAATGTATTGTTAAAACATCTCCCTTATCCCTCTCATCCAACTGGATTACATTCCCAAAGCCTCTCCTATGTAAAAATTCTGGACACTGCATTTCAGAACATGAAGTAAGTATGCTGTTCTAGAAAAATCTTGAGGTGGTCCTAATAAGCCCCTTCACCTAGGACTCCCTGCATTAGGCTAAGCTACAAAAGAGAGGATTGTGATTTCTGACTTGATGGTATGTGATCACACCCATTGCATTGAGAACCAACACTTTGGCTCAGAATATGAAACACTGTTTTGAGCAGGGCCTCCACTTGTTCCTCTTGTTAGCAGTCGATTTCTGAAAACTTGGGCTGGGGACAAGACTGCAGCACTGAACTGAGTGGTCCATATCTAGGAGGGTTTCCCCAGAGGTCCTGCCTGCGACACATGACAGAGTGTTCTAAGAATGTCATGTTAGAGGTTTTTACGAAACTCATTTTTCAGTTGCTGTCTCAAGCGAGTCACATAACTGCTTGAGGTTTTCTAAGTTTATTTTCAGCTGCAAAGAGTTACCTTTTCTTCCTCTTTTTGGGGTAAGAGTCCTCTCCCTCCTCCCAACCCTTTGCCAAATCATTATTCATTAAATCGAAACCAAAGAGAGGAAGAAAAGAAGGGACATAATAAAATAAAGGAGAGTGCCTAAAATAAAATGACCTGCCTTTTGTCCCTTTCTACCCCACCCCCGATATTTACAGTAAGTATTGCAAACTGAGCAGGTGCCCAACAGTTTACAGTCCAAACTACACTTGCTCCAGATCCCACCTGCCTCTTGTCACACAAACTAACACACACTTGAGTTAAGAAAACTTTTTTTCTGTTATGTTAATCATCAAGCCAAAGCAAATAGCCTTCCACTTTCTGGATCTAGGGTGGCAATTAAATATGAAGGCATCACAAATCCTCTACACAAATAAGGGAGAGAAAACCCTCTGTACGCCAGGCCAGGAGGGGAGCCTTCACACACCAGGGAGTTGCATCAGCTGTCACACACTTAGCAAAGTCGGTCCCCCAACTTTGAACTGTCTCAGTTTCATACGCCAGCACCACCGACTAGGTGAGCCGGAAATTAACTTAAGTTCTTAGTGTAGGGCTTAAATCAATCACCATATTACGAGGTCTCCGTTGAAATATTCTATCTCTGTCGCTGTGGGTTCATTTATTTATTCACTCAGTATGCATGGTATTGAACACCTAAGCTCAAGGGAGACCCACCACTTAATAAAAGACCCCAGATACTTCAATCTATAATTCAACTGAGTAAATAGATAAAATAATTACATGATATTAGTGCTGACAGGCTCGCACAAAGTGGTAAGGCGAAGAGAAGAAGGTAACAAGCAGGAGATGCAGCTGTAGCGGGAAAGGAGGATGCATGATCAGTTCACCACCATACTGCCTGTCTGCCCCAGGAAAAGTGCAAAACAGTGTTTCCTATTCTATTCACATTGAATAATTAAGGGATTGGAGACATCAGATCTCAAGAGAGTAGTTTCTAAGGCTCTTCACACACAGGAGAAAATGTTTACAAATGCAAAGTTGTTTCCACACACCACTCTGGAAAACAGCTCTGGAAAATGCAGGCAGAAAAACCACTTCACCAGCTCTCCACCCAGAGGAATCCAGACTGACTGGACAAACACCCAGCAGGGGAAGTGAACTTTCGCTGCAGCATATTTCCCAGCCCCTGGCACAATTCCCCAGGCATAACCCCGTCTCCCATTTGCAGGAGAGAAGTCCAGAAGGGTGGTGGAGTTTCAGGATTCAAGCATCGCCACCTCTCTCTGGCCCCTTTATGATTCAGCCCTTTTTGGCTGGGTTGCTCAGGCTTTTCAGTGCGAAATTTCGCCAAAGCAGAAACTATCTGAGTTGTACTCCGTGGCCCCTGCTTCGCAACGTGGACGGGTGAATATCCTAAGTCTACCCTTCATTCCACTCGCTTCCCAGCTCCCACACTGCACTTGGAATATCCGCAGATAAAAATGAAACAAAGTGCATTAAGCACCTCATCCGGTGTAGAAACCCTGCTCACCTCCCTTCTAGGTTAAAGCCTGTAATGACTCCGGGTGGGGACAGTTGCCCCCAGGTGGGTAAAAGTTGTCAAAACTGATTGCTGCCGCCACTCCCCCTCCCTCCCCACACACACACCCCGGACCCCGAGGTGCGACCGCACGTGGCAGAGTGTGCGTGTGCGTGTGCGGTGGGAAGCCCAGAAGGTGTGAGCGCCTGGCACGGCCCGCGCCGGGTTAACCCCTTACCTTCCAGCAGCACTTCCTTGCCAGCGCGCTTCAGCGCCTGCACCGCCTCGTCGTGGGTGGCGTCCCGCAGGTCGGCTCCGTTCACGGACAGGATGGCGTCGCCCACGTACAGGGCCTGGGTCTGGTCGGCCGCCAGCCCCTTGAAGATCTTGCTGATGAGGATGGGCATCTTGTTCTCCTTGCCCCCCTTGATGCTGATGCCCAGCCCGCCCAGCTCCTGCTTCAGCACCTTCACGCCGCGCTTCTGATTCGAGATGGACTCGGGCACCTGCTCGGGCAGGTCGGTGAAGGCGGTGCGGACCCCGGCCGGCGAGTCCGGGGGCTGCGCGCCACCCGCGCCCGGGTGCCCGGCCCCAGCGCCCCTGCAGAATGAGCCATTGGTGGCGGTCCCGATGCCGTTGTACGCCGCAGCGCCCTCCTCGCAGCTCAGAACCAGGGCGTCCTCGCTCAAGTTCACCAGAACTTTGTGCCAGCGATCCCGCACCAAAACTTCCAGCAGCCCGCTCCGCTGCGCCCGGCCGCCTCCCCCGCCAGCCGGCCCAGCCGCCGCCGCCGCCGCTACCGCCATCTTTCCGGCATTCTTAAAATGCCATGTGATTGCAAAAGGGGGGAAAAGTGGGGAAGGGTTGCGGGGGAAGGACGCGGGGCCCGGGGAGCGAGGACAGCGCGCCCCGCAGGGAGGAGCGGGACGCGGGACTCCACTCCCGGAGTTCGCAGACGGACGCGCTCGGCGCGAGTTGGCGGCCGCGGCCAAGCTGGTTCCCCTCGCCTGATCCTCGGCGGGGTGGAGCAACCTAAAAGAAGGAGAGAGAGAACAGGGGAGGGGAAAAAAGCCAGCTGCCAGTTGCAAAACCCCAAGCCGAGGGGAGCCGCGGAACTGCTAAGCGTCCGTAGGAGGAGGCACGCCGGCGGGGAAGGGCGGGGACCGGCCGCCCAGTGGCCGCTCACCTGTTCCAGCCGCCAGCAGCCTCGGCGGTCACACGCCGCCCGCTGGCCCAGACCCTGCCCGCCTCCGTGCTCCGAGCACGCGTCGCCGCAGGGACAGCTTCCCGAGCGCCTTCCCCGTCCCGCCTCTCTCCATCTCTTCGCAGCCCCCCTTCCTCTCTGCTCTCCCTTCTCCGCGGGCGCCCACGCTGCAGCTTTGCCCGGTGTGTGCGACCTGCCTAGGTGCCTTCGCCCGGTCGTCCTGAGCCCCCTTCCCTTTCACACCCCGCCGGTAGAATTGCTCCTGAGTCTTAACCCTCAAATCCAGGTCTCCTCATACTGGCTTCCTCAAACCATGGCTTTGCAGCCCTTGCGGAGTTCTTACCTGTCTCACCTTTCTGCAAGGGCTCTGAGGAGGAAGGTAGACTCAGACCAAGGCCTTTGGCTTTCTGAGAGTCAACAGGCAAAGCTGTCCCGAGAATCCAGAATGAAGCATCAGCATAACCCGAGTGGCCTAAACCTCCTCCTTTTAAAAACAGGACACGTTTCCTATCCGGCTCTGGAGAGGTGTCTCTGCTAGCCTGGGTTTTCAACAGGTCACTGCCTGCCTCAGATCCCAGGGACAAATGTTCTTCCAGCTCTAACTCATGATAAACTCTATGTTTCTGACCTGTCTTTGTTGTCCCTGTGCAACGCCACATGCAGCCTGGGGCTTTCCCTTCTCCAGATCCCATGCAAGAAGTCCCCCAGTTAAAAACTCAGTGGGAATGGATCATATCTCAAAAGTTCCTGTACAAGTTACTTATTTGAATCTGAAATTACATTTTTCCAGGGTAACCATATAATCTTTGGTTACCTTCCCAGGCCAATCCAGAAATGCCACATAACCCACGTCATAGCTGAAGGTCCCTGAGTTCTTCTGTCCTTGAACCTCTCAAACTCTCCCTGGACCCTAAGCAGGTCTCATGGTCCATACAACGTGTTTCATACTTCTCATTTATGTACCCTTTCCACTGCTCTCTACTATCTCGTCAAAAGCAAGACAAAATTCACAAATCTTCTCCTTCCCAGACACAACTCATCCAGGCAACAGGAGGAAAGAAATCTTATTGAACTCATTCCCACTGGTGTGTATCATCTTTGAAAGTTCTCTAACTCTTCCAGCATGACTCACACTTTTAATCAAGGATGCTGAAAAACTCTGATGAATCCCTAAAGAGTGGAGTCCCAGCCAGGGTCACAGGATGAAATGAAACATTGGACATTTTCTTGAGAAGGAGGAGTCATTGTAGGTCAGAGGGAGGCCTTGGATTCACGATTCTGTGGGCAGCTCCCCACCTCTCCTGTATTTTTTAAGCCAGCAGTTTTCCAAAAGATTTTTATCCTTTCTTGCAAAGGTACTCACAGCAGGGACAGAAGCTTCATGGACTCTTTAGGCCTTTCTGATGTGCAGGAGCAGACAGGGAGCTGATAGAGGTGGTTCCACCACTGGAGGAAAAAACCCAGCTGGGGCTAGCCCTCTGCTTTAGAGTTGAGAACTCATGCACATCACTCTTCAGTGAAATCAGAGCCTGAGTGTCTGTATTCTACCCCAAACACACTAAGGCTGTGATAGGTACCAGTGTGCCAGTGTGAAGATTTAGAAATCAAAACAGACCTGCTCTTGGACCAGAAATTCTCTATCAACATCATGCCTGAATTTTGCCTTTGTGGCCAAGCAGTGTTTGAGGCCCAGACACAACCACGGGTAATTTATCAATTTGCCATAAGAAATTGCAGGCTATAGGATGGGAATTTCTCAGAACCTCTGTGATAAGCACATTTTGTTCTGTACAAGCAATCCCACATGGAAAGGAGTATGTTGTTTATTGAAAGTTGCATCAGAATGAGGGGAGACAATTATTTAGTATCATTAGGCCTAAGGCGTGCACGTTAGCCAGAGATGGCTTTGCCAATGGAATTATAATTACAGCCCTATTCTAAGTGCTTTACACATATTAACTTAATCTTCTCAGTGATTCTTGGGACTTACTATTATTATCACTGCCATTTCACAGGTGAAGAAGTGGACATACAGGTTTAATAACTTGCTGTGGTCAGGTAATTAGTAAATGGCAGAGTCAGGATTGGAAGCCAGCTATGAAGAGTCTGGGCTCTTATCCATTGTCTTACACTCTTGAAAATCCTCAAGGCCTGTTAGCTACAGCTCCTGTGCTCATCTGTCCATTGAAAACATTGCCCATTGTTTCCTTCCCACTGGAAAGGAAACACTGAGGGTGAAGGCCCTTCCCTTAGACCATATGTGGTAGGATAGAAGCAACAATGGCCTCTGTCCTTTCCTTCTTTCCAAGGTTTGAGGACATACTGCCCTCCCCTAACTGATGCAATTTTTTCTTATTGTCATTAATAAGTTGAAAGTGGTGACAATTGTGGTCTTGCTAGCCTAGAAGCCTTGTCATATCTTCAGACAACTGTGAATATATGGCCTCTGATTATTAACATTCAAAGAGAAACCTCATTGGCCTCATTTCTTAGTTCCTGATAGGGTTACTGCACTGCAGTCCCATAACATTTACCATTAGGATAGACCATACTCCCTTAGATCTCCCCTTTTAAAGAGTGGTCACTGGAAAGGACAGAAGAGACTTTCAACTTCCTTATCTACAGGTGTAGAAGTTGAAGTTCAGAGCAGAGTAACAGGGGACCCAAGGCCACACAGTGAATTTGTGGCAAAGCCAAGTTTGGGTTATCCTGACTACCGGTCAAACTTCAGTATTCCAGAAATTTCACCCAAAGTCCACTTTTTATCCGATTTCTTTGCCTTAGCTCTGTCCCCTGGTCTGTTTCCTCTTTCTATCCTAAATATTGATTTCCATTTCCTACTAAATCAAAATCAGGATTATTTTTTTTCTATCCCATGAGATGTTCATTTTCCTACTGATACTTGGGTGGACATAGACTTGCCATAGCAGTTCACACAATTTTTAGCTCCATAGGAGCTGAGGATACAGGACAGAACAGCATCATGTGGTGGTGGGAACAATACTTATCTGTTTATCCCACAAAGTTGTTTTGTGCACCTGTCATGTCTGAGGCACTGTTCTAGGTGCTGGGATGTGGGAGCAGGCAAACTGGCAAAGACCTGCCCTGTGAAGCTCGCAGTGTCGTGGGTGGTAGGAGGGTGAGGTGGAGACGGACTATAAACATGAGATACTTTCATGTAGACATAAATGCTAGGAAGAAAATAAAGCAGAATAATAGAACCGAGAGTGACTAGGAGCAAAGGACTACTAGAGGTGGCTATCAAGGAAAGCCTTTGTGAGAAGGTGACCTTTGATTTAGGCTGAGACATGAATGATAAGAAGAGACGAGCCTTGCAAAGATCTAGAGAAGAGGTTCCCCACGAGAAGGAAGAGCCAGTGCAAAGCACTTGAGAGAGAACCAAACTTGTGTGGTTCAAAGGACCAAATGGAGGTCAGTGTGGCTGGGGCAGCCTGTGGGAAGAAGAGAGAGGAAGGAGAGGAGATCAGAGAGAGGCTGGACCAGATCACAGGGCGGGACATTGGGGAATTACACCACAGACCATCCTCCTTGTTCTCTTTGAGTTTCAACAACTATGCGTTTTTGATTTTGAGAAAAAGTCCCTTTTCAAATATTACTTCCTATTACCTATTACATACATTTCTTCTGGTTAGAACATATGCTCCAATAGCTCAATTTGGAAAATCTGATCATTATGCTTTTGACACTGTTTCCTAAAGAATAAATTGGGCATCTTTAGGGTGATTTTTCCAACATACAGAATGGAAGTGGATACAAAGTGAATAATAGAGAGGAGGAAATGAATAACTCTTTGGAGGTGTACTAAAGAACAAAGTGCAAGAGGAGCAGAAGGGATCTTTAATATAGAAAACTCCTAAGGTGAGCCCTCACTATGTAAATACCCATGGACTAAACACTTCTGAGTACCTACTCTTGTAAACAACTAAGGAAGGTGCTGCAGGCACACCCAGGGATGCAAAGATGATTAAGAAAGGAAGACAAACTTGTACACAAAGAGTCTGCTGAGGGAATGAGGTGGCTGTGGTACTGAGTGTGAAATGAGCTTGGAAAGACCCAGCCTCCAGCTTCTAAATCACAATGCTGGGTTAGTGACTCTGATTTTAAGGACATAGTATGAAGACTGGGGAATGACATATGGCCAGAAGGCTAAGCTGTTTCTTCCTTCTCTGGTGTGCCCCAATTGACTAGCAGGTGCATCATCATTTTGAAAGGATTGGGAAACACCCTCTATTGCATATACCTGATGTATAGCTGCATAGACCTGGGCAGGTCCTTGGTAAACTAGATAGACCATCACACAGATACTCAGCCAACCAGTCAGTCAGGTGAGAGTTATTTATGATTGCTCACTGTGTTCAGAATTTTGTAGTGGGGACTTTTTTAAGGATAATCCAAGGCAGAATTGTAGTTAGTTGTTTATCCTTCCTCTTCTCTTTCTGAGTTCTACTTCCTTTTCTTCTCTCCCATAATAACTTACTATTGAAACAAATCGTATACCAGTGTTTTTAATAGCTGGGATATATATTTAAGTCTCTTTTCCTAAGGGGTTATACATTTGAAACTGTGGGCCCAAGTAGGCATAGCAGATATGGGGAGGTAAAGGAGAATAAGGAATCAAAGTTTCATCCATATGCATTGTTAAAATAATATGAGAGGAAATTTAAAACAACTATTTCTGGATCTTGCTAAACTACTCTTCAGATTCCAAAAGAGGTTGGTTATTAAATTATAAGAAGGGGTCTATATGCGATGGGACCTTTCTCTACTTTCCTTTCTCCACCATCTCCACTGCCTGTGTGGAGTCATTTCTGTGTCCCCCTCCCGTGATTCATGAGAAATAGCAAACTTCCTTACTTACTCTGCCTCACAACCTGGTAGCCCACTTTTGTTTATAACTCACCCAATCCACTCCTCTCTGACCCAGCAGCTTCCTCCCAGACATTCTGCTTGTTAACTCTTTGTGCTGAACTCAGTCCACCAGTAGGACTATGTACAAATTCTCTCATAATCCAGGTGGATTTCTCATCTC